CATCATAATTATCCACCAGATCATTCTTGATATAGAAATTTTCATCTCCAGATGCCTTGGCAGTATTGACCTCCATCCTATGGCTATAACAGTTATTAGAAAAAACTGAGTCCTTGGGGCAGGAGGATTGACTCACATTACTAGCCCAAACATCAATAGCTTTCTTCTTGTCTATAACACTCGTATTAACTTCATGGAAAAGCTCTCAAGTTACTTTGATGTAAAAAATATAACCATTTATCTCCACCCGAATGGTTTTGGCAATAAAGCATCTAAGAGAGGAGACATTAATTAAGGGTTCTTCATATGTTAAAATTCAGTTTCTTGATAGTAGCATTATCCACCTTGATATATCCTCCCATCATAGCACTGATGAACTGAAAGAAATCAGTATTCTAAGCTTGTAATGGAACACTTTCCACTCTAAGACAAACAAAACATTCGGTTGCAATAAGATTAGGTTCCCATGGTTTCACCATATCAAACCATCGAGAAAGCCAGTCACACACATCATCAGACATATCATGCATTAATTCCACTGATCTATCGAAGGTAAATAAGACATCATTATTACCTCCTATATGTCTAGGAAGGCAATAGCAGACGCCTTTCTTGGAGAAATATTCATGCAGAGTAGGAATAACCTTGGGGGATCTGGCGTAGGCAACTGTACTTCTGGACAATCACTCCATATCTCCACCTTCAACATAAAAAAAACCAGGTTCTGGTTCGCACCTTCAGGCCTTAAGTATGATTTATTATCGCTCAGAGTATTTTTCCTTCCACGAACATTGCTAATCCTGACCACATGAGTGAAAGAACGATGGTCCCGAAGTGATTTAGTATAAGAGAAACATTTTCTAAATCCCTCCATTTTACTATTAGGTGATATCTTTCGACCCTTCATAACTCCATCATGCTTGTTGTAACAAGCAAGATTTGCCCTTAGTTTATATGTGTCAATCCAAATTATATTGAGCTCCTTGAGAAGTTGATCCTTGTTGTTTTTACCTTCGAGCCAAACAAAACTAAATTTTCAGTTCATATGATTGAGCTTGTTAGGGACATACACGTCTAAAACTTTACCAGCCCTAGAGAAGACTCTTTTTAGGTCAGAAGCTTTCCAGTTAGGGGGAACCTCTCAAAGTAAAACTAGAGAGGGACGGGAGACAAGGGGAAAGGTTAAAATTTGGTGGTAAGGGAGGATTGGATCTGGTAAGGTGGGTTGCAAGGGTTGGAGAAGGAAGGGGAAGGGGGAGTTGAATCGTCGGGAGAATAATTCTAATGACTTCTATATGAACATGATTTACAAATGAATCCAGCAAAAAAAACTTCTATAAAAAGAAAGTATTCTTTACTTGATCAAATAATTTGCAACATGATTTTTTTTCTATGAACATGATCAAAACATTGCATGCATTAAAACTATCATTGAATTCTATTTGAAGGTTGCATAGCTTTTTCTTTTAATAATTCAAGTAATTACATTGAAAGAATCTGACTCCACAACTCATTTATTTATAGAAGTATGGCAGTAATTAGTACTCAAAAGCATAATTTTTCTAATTAGCAAGATCTCAGCTTCATTAGAATCCATATTGCATGTGGAACAAGAAAACATTATCTTTTGCTTTACAATGCATAAAAAACAGACAGGATATGAAATAAACCCTATCTTTTCTGCCGGATGAATAGTCAGTCTTGATCTCAAAACAAGTCATTGATGCTATATTTTGGATAGGTTAAGCCAAAGAAACTCATCTAAGGCGGCAATTTATGAGTGCTATTTAATTAATTGATGCTTATAACAGCAGAAACGGACATCTCCAAATATCCTAGTTTTAAGTTTCGAAAATTCCCATATCTTAATTATCACCCCAGTATAGAAGTCAGTGTCCATCACTTTACAATTTTTCTCAGTGTTAAGGGTTAGCAAGAGAAGAACTATATGTGCGCCTTGCTGATCGGAGAAGGGGAGAGTCTCACTGGGTTAAGCTAAACGCTTATTGACATTGCCATCTTACTTTGATAACGAAAAAAGTCCAGATGGAACAGCAGTAGAAAATCAAATCAAGATGTTTTGCCATACTTGTTAAGAAGCATGGATCATGGATCCCCTTGTCCTAACATGGGCCACGCAATTTAGTAAGATTTTATCATCTAGCCAAGTGCCCAAAAGCCAAACCACGCAAGAATATTCTTTAGTTCATTGCAAGCTTGATCAGTCTTGACTGATTCAAGGTAGCGATCCTTCTTAACTTCATCTAAATATTAAAATTTGTTTATAGCCATAGAGCCATCGGCAGCTCTCAAGTGAACAGAAGAGTAAAAAATTAAATTGCTCTTAAAATATATTTGCTTGTATTAATGAGGTTTCTTAAGCTCTTAAAATATCTTCTATCGCATCCTTCTAAGTAAAAATTAAAAGACAGATTGCGAACTTTCTAACATCATTCTCTTTCTAATTTTAGCTTTCGGCTGGAAAGTCAGGCATAGCTGAGATACCAATTTCTCATCTTTCCCAGTTAGCCTGCATCACATGAGTTATGTTACAGAAAAATTAACTGAACATTGTTGGAATGTTGTCAGCAGTCTACTTAAGTTGATGAACTTCCTTGACAACTGCAACTCCAAGCACATCAAGGCAGCAAAGTTTCAAGGAAAAAAAAGAAAAAGTTAGACGACAGATGTATCATGTCTGTATATCCTATTACAAATGACTGCATGTTGTGAGCCCTAGTGTCTGGATTTATAATTCTTTGTTGAACATCTCTCGTTGTCAATATGATCCAAAATAATCAATGATGCATCCGAAGCATCCATTTAGAGTCTTTCCTATGTTGGAAACTAGACTTGGAAATTCCTCAAAAAATATGGGTACCTGCAAAATAACATTATGTTCTTAACACACCAATATCTTAAAAATAAGCACCATTAATAAAATGAAAACAACGTAGAAATTCTCTCTTGAGAGGTGAAATAGCAATGGTATTATAGCCTTTACAAATTTAGCCCTTGTTCTTTATAATACTATTTCTTTTGTTTTGAATTTTTTTTTTGGAGTTCTTTTTAAATTTTTTTTTTTAACATTTTATTGATTTAGAATTTTGATGTGTTATTTTTTTAGATTTGTCTTCTATAAGATTGGTCTTGTGGTCATGATCATGTTCACATGTTAACCTTGGTTTTTTTTAGGTCTTTTATATAAAAAAAATATTTTTTTTTTAAATATTTAATTTATTAAAAATTAATCTTCATGTTTTTTTATTTTTTATTTTTATAAGATTATCTTAATTATTTATCCAAGATTACGGGGTTAACTAGTTAACACGAGTTAACTTATAGTGTTTTTCATTGTTTTTTTTTTAATTTTTTTTAATTTATTTTTTAATATTGAATTGTTTAATAATTAAATTTCATAGCCTTTTTAAGTTTGTTTTTGACGAGATTCATAAAGTTTGTTTTTGACGAGATTCATAATTATCTTTATGTTATTAATTTTTTATGAGTTTATTTATTATTGTTATTTTATTTTTTGTTTAATATTATTTAAATTTATTAAATTTATTGGAGCCTATAACTTAAATCTAGATTTTTTTTGAATTTTTTTTAATACTTGAATCGTTTTAGCATTCTTTTTTATATTGGAAAAAAATTACTAGCATCATAGCGCAGCCCCTGGGTATTATAGCCTTTACAAATTTAGCCCTTAATCTTTATAATACTATTTCTTTTGTTTTGGATTTTTTTTTTGAATTATTTTTTTAAATTCATCTTTTAGTATTTTGTTGATTTAGAATTTTGATGTATTATTTTTTTAGATTTATCTTCTATAGGATTGGTCTTGTGGTCATGACCATGTTCACATGTTAACCTTGGTCTTTTTTAAGTCTTTTATATATAAAAAAAATTAATTTTTCTTTAAATATTTAATTTATTAGAAATTAATCTTCATGTTTTTTTATTTTTTATTTTTATAAAATTATCTTAATTATTTATCCAAGATTGCTGGGCTAACTAGTTAACACGAGTTAACTTATAATGTTTTTTTTAATTATTTTTAATTTATTTTTTAATATTAAATTATTTAATAATTAAATTTTATAGTCTTTTTAAGTTTGTTTTTAACAAGATTCATAATTATCTTTATATTATTAATTTTTTATTAGTTTATTTATTATTGTCATTTTATTTTTTGTTTAATATTATATAAATTTATTAAATTTACTGGAGCTTGTAACCTAAATCTAGATTTTTTTTTGAATTCTTTTTAATACTTGAATTCTTTTTTATATTGGAAAAAATTTACTAGCATCACAGCGCAGCCCCTATGTAGTGACTTCTTTATTGGGTTGATAGATTTCAATGTTTGCCTTCGCCGAGGGCTGAAGAGGAGGTTCCCGCAATTCAAGCAAAAACACATTCCGAGGCTGAAGGGGTTCCAGCTTCACCAATCGGATCTGGTCCAGACCAATGCTTTATTACTGATTCCAGCTGTGGTGATTGGGCAGTCATTTTCAGAAACATTGTCGCAAGCAGATCCAATTCAAGAAAATGACATTCAGACGATGCCAGATCTTTTTATATGAGCTTTCTTTGTTGATTTCATGTTTATGCAAACTGTCCATGGAGTATTATTCTTGAAAGCAGTTAAAATGTAAAGCAGCCACTACGTGAGTTTAATTTATATTGCTGACTGATTTACTGTTTGAGAATACGATTAAAATCATATATTAAAAAAATATTTTTTTTAAATTAGTATATTTTTAGATCATATTATATTAAAAATAATTTTTAAAAAATATTATTGTAATTTCTTAAAAAAAAAAAAACCAGCTGAAACCCTTGAAAAAATCAGAGGCGCAATCCATGATTTTCGGCCGTCCCAGTTCTTGTTTCAGTAATGCAGACTACTCAGACACTTGCATCCAGATTCAAACACAAGAATTAGTAAAGCGAGTTTGGAATTTTTGGGTAATAAAACTCATGACCTGGGATAAGTAAATATAAAGCAAGCATTTACGGAGTATTAGTTAGAAACATCCAGCATTAGTGCCGTGCCAATCAAACCTTGTACAGAAATCATCTTCCTCTGCTTCTATCTCGTTCAACAAAAATTATATGTTCAACCTGTAGTAGGTGACAATCCCAGAAGAGAATCTACTCCACTGACGACGATGAGAACAGAGGAGATTTTTTACGGTGACTATTTTATGAACCTAGAACATAAAACTAGCACCTGAAACAAAAAGAAATCCTGCCTAAGGATGATGACACTGCAAGTCACCCCCCCTTCTTCCTCCCAGCCTTCTTTTTCTCAAACCTTCTCGGTTTTCTCCACTCTGAAATGAAACAATTCAAACACTCGGTTGCTTTAACAAAAGAAAATAACAATGAAATGCATAACAAACGATTGTTCAGAACCAATAATCCAAGTGAACAGTTCTCCTTGACACGTGACCAGAAAGAAAAACATCTGCATTTCACATTTGCACCAAGAGGCTACAAAGTTTAAGGTTGCTTTACCGACAGCAGCAGCATGGCAATCTAACAAAAAGAGATTATAGCATACCTTAATAACGTTCAGCAACAAAAAAAAAAAGTTGATCTTTTTCCTTTTTGTTCCTCAATTTAATTTCATCGAGTGTTCCACTGAGCAATTAGTATAATCAAACATTTCACTTCACTGTTTTCCTTCAGTGGAATCACTTGCATATAATGAGCAATTCTTTTATGGACAGAATGAATGCATTTTCACTTATTACACACCAAGCCCTGTCATAGACAGATCAAAATGCTACATAAATACATGGCTGCGTCATTCCAAACTAATGACATGAGCATATTTTAAAAAAATCCTTTTGGCAATGATTTAATAAAAAAGGGAAAGAAAGAACTGAAATACGAATACGCTGAGTACTAATTTAAAAATCAAGCATGAATGGTTAGTGACTCACTTTCCATCCTTCATCAGAAAATCTACAGCATGTCTCGCAGCATGAAGTAACATTTTCTTTATCTGCATCAAAAACCCCCCCAGGTTAGATTTAGTCAGTGCATGATCAACAAGTGACCAAGAGTAAAATGCAGTGCAACCAAAAAAATGAATGTATGGCCACTGGTTGTGGGTTTTTATGGTGCCATAAGGTAAAGACTGTCGGATATGATAAAAATAATCAAGAGCAGCTGAATATCACAGTTGTGACCAGAGATGGCAATGCTGAGAGCAATGTTACAGCACTTGCAGTTCGAACAATGATTTGGACGGACAGGCTTGGCTATTCTATAGTATTTCATTATTTTGCAATGAAAGTCCTTGGTCTTCATTCTTCTTGTGTTTATCATATTGCAAGATTTTACTACCACACCAGAGATTCTTCTATTGTGAAACATGTGGTAACCAGGGAGAAATGAAACTCTCCATGGTATGCATACGACAGGACTACTCAAAAAACCAAGTAATGCCCCCACTTCATCCCCAAATCAGCTCTTTTCACTCTAATGCAATTTCTCTTACTACAAGATCCTATAACTTTTCAGCATTAACCAGAATATCATCATAGAATAACTCTAAATTGTAGATTTCAGAGGTCCTACATTAAATGTGTTATAGAATGATTAAATGAAGAAATTGATCTAACTCTTTGGATGGATAAGAAGAGAGTATCAAAAAAAGACATTCACAACAGATACAATTGGCCAACTTTTACATGAAAGACTCCATTCTCTAATTCACAACACTTTCAAGGAAAGCATCTCGATGACCAAAGACTCATTCCCTTCAGATTGACAAATGGGTTTCAGCACTTTTCATTATTATATAGACACAATAGGAAGATTACAAATACCTCCAGCTTGTCTTCCTTGGCCTGATGATTTGGGGGAAGCTGACGGAATTCCTCTGTCAAATGTATGCACTCACCAACATTTTCAGGCGAGACGAAGTCAAGTGCTACCTTAATGCAAGACTGTACATGTACAAATTAGTTATCATGGAAAATCAGTCTGCATTTCTGATTGTGTGTATGTGCCACTGGTATAAACCACCACACGAACAAGGAAGCTCACTACTTAATGGCAATTAAACTCCCAGATTTAATATTCAACTTTTTAAGACAAGACCTAAAAACATAAGCACATTACAGTAGAAAACTTGAGAGTTATACTACCAAGTCATCAAAGGACTACATCCACATCAGATGTAAAGAGATCTAGACTGTTGAATAACTCAGTAGATCCACCTCATCCTAAAATTTTAGGAACTGGACCATAGCACACCAGGAACACCATTAGACCATGAAGTGCACACAAAAAAAAAAATAGCTACAAAGTTGTGGAGACCATGAATAGGACATTGTTGATTTCTGAACCTCCTACGTTGCCTAATTCCATGATCAAGATCAAAGCGTTGCCGTCAATTTCATTGCTCAAAAAATGACCAGCAGGAACTGCCACACAAAGTTTCCGGGTAAATATAAAACAGAACAAATTTTACCTTCAAGTTTCTAACTTGATGAGGACAGCCTGCAGGAATAAAGACAGCATCTCCAAGTTTCTGGACAAATGTCCATGGTTCAATGCCTGCACATCAGTGTCAGTAGCATATTTATAAACCTCAAAATCCAGAGGAAAAAAGAAACTGACTGAACCTATTATATACATTACAGGACTAACCATATTCCTCTTTTAGCTTCCTCTTGTGCTCTAGAGTGAAATAAAATGTCTGGTCATGTATGGAGTGAACAACCTACAACACCAAAAGAACAATAGTTCATGCAGTTAATTCAAGGATGCAAGCAATTTATGCTACAAATTCAGACAACCAGCAGTAATCTGATTTAGCTGGTCCATTTAATTCAGTTTTGACAAAACAGTCTCTCTTTTCAATCAGCTACCATGCTCATCCCAACTTTCCCCAACCAATTCATAGCATTCATGGTGCCTTTCCATACCCACCCTAGAATATTTCTTTAACAGATACCATTTAACAAATTCAAGATTTTTTTTAAAAAAAGCATCAGTGCATAACTTGTGTTCTTGTTACCCAAAGCTTTACCACAACATTCATTTTCTTGACCATGAATTAGGAAACACAACAGAGTATTTTTGAGCATGGAATATAGACTGTTTATTCCAAACCCTTGAATTAAGCAAATCTGAAAGTTATAACACGACCATGGGCCAAAGGTAAAAAAGATAGCCAATACACGATTACCTTCTGTAAAGGGCAACAATGGATATGCCTAAATTCTTTGAAGTGCTTATTGAGATATTCCTGCAATTTAGGAACATCTTCTCTCCGGAAAATATCCCAAACAGCACCTCCATCTAAAGCATCAGGCCATTCCAACTCATTTGCACAATTTAAAGGTCCACTCTCATAGATTTTGCCTTGAATCATTTCTTCCTTCTCAGCAGATTTCCCTGATTTATTTGAAAAGGCAGAACCATTAAGCAGAAAATTGTAAGTCTGGCCATCAACTTCGCCAGATAATAAACGCATAATCATTAGGTGACCTACCAGCATCACCACCATTCTTGTTAACATCAAATTTATCCACATTCTGATCATATCCAAAAAGTTCTCTCTGGTCTTGTTTGAAGTGAAGAAGCTTCAAATTTTGAATCTCAGCAAGTTGTCCATCGCTATAGGATACCTCAGCAGTATGCGTTAAAACATTCACCTAAAGCAGCCAAATTTATTGTGCACAAAATAATCATGAGGTTAAATAATTATTTCAGATCCCAATCTTGATAGGCCCAGCACAAGTAGATACTACAATATCAAGATTCACTGCTGGCGGGAAAAAGGAAAAATTCCACATTTCAAGTCTTAAATTTTTCTATGTCAGAATATATGAAAATCTGTCATTAACAAAAAAGCCATTAGCCATTGCCCCATCCCAGCAGAATCCTAGTGAGAGAAATCTGACAGTTCTTGAACATTTTCTCACTGAGAGCTTGCTGTCAAGCATCAAGTTCGCAACCTCATGTTTGCAGACCAAAAAATATTACCTTTTCTCTAAGCAGGTTGCAAAAAAATTCAAACACAACTCATACAAAGAGTATCATACAACAGTTAGTTGAGCATCACTAATGAAAATATCCACTGCTGCTTAAATTCACTTTCTTGATTTTTATGCAATATTTGGAATAAGACACGATGCTGATCCCTGACTATAGTTTCAAAGCTCCCAAATCTAAGCCTGTGATATCTCAATTAAAGCATGGCTTTGTAAGTCAGCAATTAAAATGTGGCCTCCAAGAAAAACTGAACATAGCACACTAAGAAAGGAAATTTTAAGTTGTCTTAACTTTTGTTATGGAATTCACCCTTCAGGTTTTTTCAGAAGGATGTGTCATTCTTATTGATTTCTAACCTTTCATTCTCTTTCTGTCACCACTATATCTTCTTTTATCTGAACAGGAATAAAGGAAACAAACATACCGCATCAGACATGTCACAATGAAGCTTGGTAACAGAATCTCCACGCCCAAGCTCTATCGGAAATCCATAAGCAATATATGTCTTTGGCCCCATGTCTGGCTTCAAAGAATCCTGAGGCAACCTGATAGCAAGGTTTAAAGGTCCACTGCGGCGGTCAGTATACTCCTTGAAGGGCAAACAACAGGTGAATTCAACATCATGTCGTGGCAAACTTTCACCAAATGTTTTATATGGGGGCCAGTCTTTCAGCTTCAGTATCTGAGGCCAATTTTTACCATCAAACCTTCCCTCCGTGTAACCAGTAAAGAATTTATGGACATTAATATCTACCTGCATTCATCAAGAATTGAGCTTCATACTAAAGATCATAACAAGTGATGACATTTCAATACAGATTGCATGCATAGTTATCAAGATAAATGGAGAATGATTCACAGCCATAGTTACCAGAAAATAGCATCAAAATATTTGTGCTCAACAGGAAAGAGATTAATTGAGATAATGAAGTCTACCAAAAATATGCCAGAACTATTTGAAAAACTCATTCAATTTCAACTAGCAATGTTGCAGCTGAGTTTTTATTATGGCAGTGATAATTATTTGGGTTGTTGCTGGGGTTGTTAGTGGTTGAAATAGCTCAGATGCATAGGAGCAGCGATTGTTTGGTGATGGCTCAGATGGTAGTGGCGCAGACATGGCAAAGCTAGGTTTTATGAGAAATGGGTTCTTGGTTGAAAGGTAATTTAGCAACTAGCAAGGGGTTTTAGGCTTCACAAGGAGACTGTTATGGAGAAGAAAGGATGAGGAAGGTCTACTGTGGTTCGAGCTTGGTGAGAGAGAATATGAGGCATGAAATGCTATAATACAATGTTATGCGAACTCTTTGTAATATGTAATCAATTTCGGTAAAAAGAAAGTCTTTTGTTGTGGATTTGAATTATATGATCGTGGATATAAACCCTCCCATGATTATCAGAAAATAGCATCAAATCAAGCAATAAAAGGTGGCAAAATTTTGTCTTCAATGCACAGCAGAAACACAAACAAGAAGAGGTAAATACACTGACCTCGCAGCAACTCAGGCACTCAATTGCCTTAACATCCAAAAGTGTACCATGTTTTTCATGTTTGATCTGGCGGAAGGCACGCCACATGACCATCGGCTCCCAACTTAACCCAGAAGCAGTATCAAGCACATTGCTAACAATCACAGGCTCAGCTCTCTTCCAATGGAACTGAAAATGTTTCAAGTCATCCTCCATGATATCTTTGGCTTTTGGATTGAACAAATAGTTATCATCAGAATCTTCTCGACATGCTGCTTTTAACGACTCGTTACCATTACAGATATCATGATTGCCATTCGAATTAAAACACATGCATAGTTCAACGGGAGCATTAGCAGAGTCAATTTCACAGTTTTTTAAAACATCTTCAACTTTCTTTACCAACTCTGAAACTGAAACTGAAAAATTAACTCCTTTGTTTGGGAACAAACATTTCAGTTGTAAATTGCCACTACCGCAAGCACAATGAATGCTTCCATCTTCATTCACTTTCCATCCAGATTTTGGCCCTGTAAAATCCACAGAGACAGTCTTTTTTGGCGAACCAGCCAGCAATTCATCTTTTATTTCCTCATGTTCACCATGCATATACTTAAATCCCCTATCAATATACTCCATAACCACATCCGGCCCACCACCTTGCAAGCATCCAGCACGGATCTCACAGCAACAGAGAAGACAAAGATCAGAAGAGCAATTTGAGCAACTTCTGTGATAATCAAAAATAGAAGTTCGGCAATTATCGCTGAAGAAAAAAAAACACAGAAGTGGGTTAGTATCAAATCTTACCTCAAAATAGAAATGGTGAGAGACGTTGATATCTAAAAAAGAACTTACCAGAACATGCGTTCATCTGCAGGGCAGCTAGCATTTTCTATCTGTAAGTCTGCAGGTGGTACACCTGCAGAAATAAACTATTAGTGATCTGACAAGCAAGAAGGCCAACTCTCTATACATAGAAGCACAAGCACCCTTCAGCTACCCACTCATTCATAAATCATGCTCACCATAAAACATAGATAAACAGACATCTCCGCGCCAACAAGTAGCACAAGCGCATGCATAGAGTGCATGCTCATGATTAATTTTTTAAAAATCTATAACCAATCTTTTGTTAATGCAACTTCTAGTTTGGAGTAACTGCAAGTACAACTAAAAGAAAGGTCTTCTACATCCAATCAAGAAGAAAAACACAGAACATAATATATAATGAAAAAATTTATTCTTAAAACACAAATCATGACAAATAAAGAAAAAATAATCACAAGACTTGGGAATTTGACCATCAAAACAACAGACAATCATTTCATCCCGTGAGAACAACACTTTTTTATACAAAATTTCATTTTTATCAATTTCAGACATGCTTAAACAAAGACCATTTTGAAATTTATACAGAATCATTGAAAAATATTTATTGCTTATGAAATTAATTCCAAATATTTGAAACAAAAGAATACCCCTTATCCTAGCCTCGATTTCTCTCTCTGTCATTTGCTCTGTATCTAACAGCTTCAGAAATGGAAGAAGTGAACAAAGTAAAAACTTGGAGTGCTGCACTTCTTCTTCTTCGCTTACTTCCAGGTTTAAATTTTTCAGGTCCTGCAGACAAGAGGTAAAGTTGTTACATCTCACACTTACAATTAAAACCATTAACAAATACATAAAGAAGACTGATCTGCAAAACTAGAGAGCATACTTTTACTGGCGCATCTAAACGCAAACATGATTTACAGTTGCAATTTCCAAGACAAACTGGACAAGCACTTGCGATATCATCCTCTGTCATCTTAGGATACCTACAACATAAACCAAGAGTTCCTTAAGTAACAAAATCAATGTTAGAGGGATTAAACCATAGACATTTTCAAGATGATTGAACCTCACTAAAACATGTCTAAGCCATGTCATTTTCTTGTTGATTGTCCAAGCAGGTGCTAAAATTTCAAAACAGTACATCATATGCTAATTTACTTGTATCCGGAATGTAATGTTGCGAATAAGTTGGGTTAAAATTAGATTAGATCTATCAGTACACACAGATCATGCACGATATCACGTGTTCTAACAGTTAACTATTTCCTCCATAAATTTTTGTTGAAAAACAAAATAAATCTCGGATATAAGAAAAGAACCAAAGCACGATAAGTTTACCCCATTATAACATTTCACAAGCATAAGCATGCATGAGAAAAGGAAAGCACAAGCTAAGTAATGACATACAAATTCATGAAATTCCCAGCAAACAATAGCCTGAACTACAAATCAATATCTTACATTAAATGGATAATTGAGAGTTAATTTAGATTAAAAAACACCACCCTTAACAAATATATTTGTATACACGCACAATGAGAGAACAAAAGATTACAAGAGATAATCCAAATAATCGTAAACTATACCATTTTGTTAAGCAGGGGATACAATAGCGCTTCCTTTTACATTTCAGGCATCGAATGACACGGCCTTTATCACTTCTCTGGCATTGGTGGCACATTAAACACACTTCCTCAGTGAACTGCAAATCCAAATTCCGGGACGTAAACAGCCATTAATTAATCAAACAGACAATATCAACAATAAACCAAATAGATTCGTTACCTGAGTAGTGCACCAGGATTTGCTGCTCTGCCCAACTTGCTCTTTCTGACTCCTGGGCCCATGACCTGTCCCAGTGCAAATCACCAAAGAATCTCCTTCACCTTTGCCTTCACCACTTTCTTCCATTTCTTCTTCTCCTTTAATTTTCTCCTGCTCCTCCAGCTTCTTTTTCCCTTTTTGACTCGCTCTCTTTTTCCCACTATTCACATCACCGTTTTCCCTCTTTTTCTCACTTTCCAATCCATCACACTCCGAGACCCCTTTCTTCTGTCTACTGTCCGAGACTCCCACCTTCTTCCTGCTCTTCCTATGCTTCTCCCCAAAAACTACCTCGTCTAATGCATTATCAATCTCAGCATAATTCACTTTTTTCTCAGTTTTCCTCAGCCTCGTCTTTAAGGGACCTCCATTCTCTTCCACAACAACAACATTTTCCTTCCCCTCCTCGCTCCCCACCTCCTCATTGCCCAATTCAGTTCCCTTCTTCTCCTTGTTTACATCACTATTTTCACTCTTTTTCTCACGTTCCAGTCCATCATTCTCCAAGAGTGCTTTCTTCTTTCTACTCTCCGAGACTCCATCCTTCTCCCTGCTCTTCCTATGTTTCTCCCCAAACACTACCTCATCTAATGCACTATCAATCTCAGCATAATTCACCTTTTTCTCGTTTTTCCTCGGCCTCTTCTTTAATGAACCTCCATTCTCTTCCACGCCGACAACAGTCTCCTCCTCCTCACTCTCCTCCTCCTCATTACCTAATTCAGCTCCTTTCTTCTCACCCTTTTCACTGTTTTCTCCTCCATTCTCAACAAATTTCACTTTTTCCTTCCCTTCAACTCCCAGCTCTCCAATGCCTTTCCCTTCCTCATCATCCACCTCCTGATTCCTGAATTTACCCCCCTTCTTCTCCCTCTTCCTTTTCCCTTTCTCTTCCCTTTTCCCATCTAATTTACCTTCTTTTCCATTATCTACGGCTATCTCTTCTTCTTCCTCAGTGCCCGCCTCCTGTTTTTCCTTCCAAGCAAACCCTCTCTCTTCCTGCTTCACAAACGCCACTTCACTTTTATCACCAAATTCGCCTTCTTCCACACTCGCCACCTCTTTCTCAGTAAATTTCACCCTTTTCTTATCTTTCACAACTGATGAGACCCCCTTTTCATCATTCCCTTCTTTCACCTTCTCCTTCTCATTATCATTTTCTTTCTTCTTTCCCTTCCTTTTCTTTTCACCCTTATTCGCATTCTCCTTCAGATCACATTCTCGCCCTTCCTCCACGCCATTACCTTCACTTTCTTCTTCACTAACATTACTCTCACTCTCCTTTACCTTCCACTCCCTATTTCCCTTATTTGAGACATCCTTTGCGTTATCGAAATGACAAGTTTCCTCCACTTTCCCTTCAATTTCACTACTTTCAACTAAACCCCCACTTTCCTTCACTTCCTCCTCAGACCCACCATTCTTCGCAGCTTCCTTCTTCACCCCCGCCGTCGAGTTCGCCGGTCTCTGCCGCTTCCCGACTCTTGTCATCAAAAAATATTCAAGCTTTTAGCAGGAAAAAAAGAGGAGAGACTTAAGTTTCTTGTTTTAGAAAGGGTGAAGTTTCTTGTTTTAGAAAGGGTGAGGCTTTACTGAGAGTGGCACACGGACTTGTTGTTATAAGAAACCGTTTGTCAAAGCGGCTGTCGCGGGAATGTCAAGAATTTTAATTTTTTTCTTAAGTAATTTTTTTTATATTTCTGAATTATTTTAATATATTAATGTTAAAAATAAAAACAAAATATTATCTTAATATATTAAAAACATTTTAAAAATTAATTATTATTTCATTACTATCATAGTATGTAACATATTAAAAGTATGTAACATATTAAAAAATATAGTTGTAATTATTTTTTAAAATATTTTTAATTTAGAAAATATATTAATAATATATTTTTATTTTTAAAAAATTAACACATTAAAATATTTTAAAATATTAAAAATATATTAATTTAAATAAAAAATTAAATTTTTAAAAAATACTATAAACAAACCCAAAAACTCAATCTCTTTTAAAAGTGCTGGAAAAAATAGGGTTTATTGATTTATATATGTTTTTGCGTGTGGAATAAAGAGAAGAGGGCATGGGTTATGATGACTTTCGATTGATTTGATTGATGGGCTAATTAATTATTAATTTAGCGTTTTTGGAATTTTTGGCGCCTTGGAAGGATTACTGTGGGCGAATTTTTGGGACGGAAGGTTATCCCGCCTGTTTTTTAATTGATCTTAAGGCTGGTGGAAGCCATCTAAATTAGGCCTATCCGTGCGTTGATCCTTATGGATTTTAGGGGATTGATGTGGGATGATTAGCCCAGCTTTTGATTTTACAAAAATTAGTCTAGGACACCATTTCCATAAAAAAAAAAATCAGATTTTATTTAATTTGACCGAGTTAAATCTCATATCAATGAGTTATCAAGTAATTTACTATACAATACTCTAGATTAAAAAGTTGGGAAATTGTTGAATTGAAGTGAATTTAATATCATTATACAATACTCTAGATTAAAAAGTTGGGAAATTGTTGAATTGAAGTGAATTTAATATCATGGTAATGACTGCTTTTAATAATATTTTTTTAAAAAATTTATTTTAAATATCAAAATATTAAAACAAAATGAAAACCTAAAAAATTAATCTAAAGTAAAAAAAAAATTAATTTTTTTTTTAAATATTTTTAAAATACAAAAACAACCATGCTATTAAGTTACAAAGTTTAAATTAAACTTTTATTGAAAATTTTGAAACCATCATTTATTTGTATAGTATTTTTTTCTACATTAATCCTTGACCTTTTAATTTTTAAACTTGATTTAATTGGTCTTTAATTTGTTTGAAAAATGATGCAATCATGTAAAAAAAGTTTGATCACCAAAATTAAAACAAAAAAAAAGAACAATAAATCCACAATGAAATGTGAGATCATGAACTATATTTGTGTCCGTAATGTTTTATCCATGATATTTAAAGTTTTTTATTGTTGATTTTTTTATTTTAAAAAAAGGGATATGCAGGTTTGATTGACTGTTTTTGTACATAATTGTTTTTTAAGTGCAACAAAAAAATTTATCCAAATCAATTAAATATATGTGCAAGAAAATAAAAAAAAGTAAAAAAATTAAAAAAATTAAAATTAAAATATTTGACCATGTAATATAGAACATTTATCCGATTGTATTTTCTAGATTTTTTTATTTAACCAAATAATAATAAAACTAAAAAAAATATGAAAATAACTGAATAAAATACCAAGCAAAAAAAAAATGAAAATAACTGAATAAAATACCAAGCAAGCCTACATATATAGCAAAAACAAAATTAAAAATGAAGTTAATCAATATAAAACATAAGGCCTACATATATAGCAAAAAAAAAAATGAAGTTAATCAATATAAAACATAAAAACAATCATAGATAAATAAAAATAATATATTCAAAAATTAAATACATATTAATTATTTTAAAAAATCTTTCAATTCAAAAAAGCTAAATATAAAAAAAAGCTAGTAATACTTGAGGTGATTCAAGCACATTTAAAAGAACTAAGAAAAACAAATGACATTTGGTTACAAGTTCAAATAAGTTTAATAAATTGGTTTTATTCTAGTTATATAATTAAAAAAATATGTAATGATAATAAACATATAAAATTACCATAAAAATAAATAGCATAGTATCCTGAAAACAAATTGAAAGTAAAAATTAAATAATAAATTAAATTGATCTGAATAAAATCGAGTTAACATAATAGATATATAATCTCAATAATAAGAGGCAAGTTAACCCAAGTTAACTTGTAAAACTCGTGACCCATGTTTTTAAATCGAGATAAATTAATAAAAAAATTGAGAAAAACTATAAATCCAGTCCTTTTTTCTATATAAAAAATAACACCAAACAATGAAATCGAAATAGAAAATGAGAAAAAAATGATGATAACCTATATCAACATTTCAAAACTGTGACCTAACTTATTAAACTGAAAGCATAAAATGATATTAAATAAAAAATACAATTAAAAAAATAAAGATAAAAATCAAAATAAAAAATAAATGTGAGGGCAATACAAATTCTTCGATTGAAAAATTAAATTAAAAAACTCTGATATGTGGGGGCAATACAAATTCTTCCATTGAAAAATTAAATTAAAAAACTCTGATAAAAAAATTAAAAGAACAAGAATTAAATTAAAAAATAATATATTATAAATTTTGATTGAAAAATAAAATTGAAAATAATACTTAAAAAAAACAAAAAAACACAAATATTAAAATTAAAAAAAAAACCAATATATATTTTCTGGAAGAGGAGAGAAAAGACAGAAGGAAAGAAAGAAGAAACAGCTAGGGACAATCTACTTATTACTTGTCAATATGTGCTGCATTAGGAGAAAATGGACCCCACGTCACTTTGAAAGAGACAACAAAAGATGATATTTGATTGTCACATGTTGTTTTGCAAAGTCACTTAAAAGACACAGGTGATTTTACTTGTTAGAGCGTGTGATGAGTACGCCAACAATTTTTTTTTTTTAATATTTTATATTATAAAAAATAAAAATGCCAGCTCACCTAAAATAACAAAAGAAAAAAGTAATTTGATACCGATACCATTTAAGTACTTTTATTATTCATTTAAAATGAAATAAAGACAAAGTCCTTGGATAATTTGTTTTTGTTTTCACCTAGAAGGTTATTGTAGAATTTGTACTTTAAAAAATAGCGAAAACACATTTATTCCCCCAATGATTTTTTCAAAAGACATCTGTGTTCATATAAGAGGATAAAAATAGCCCATTCCAAGGCTTTATTTTTGTGCTCGGTGGGGCAAAATAGGTAGAACGCTGTGGATTACTTAACTAATTAATCTAAAATCAGCTCACGACTTTAATAACCAGCAGGCAGCCCTCCTTTCCTTGGATCGCTAACTCCCACCAGCTTTCCCATGAGTTTATTTCCTTCTGTAGTCTCTAAATCCTGAACAATAAATTGGCAAATGGTTCCACCAGCAATGTCTTGCAGGACATGGCCTCTTTTCTGGAGGAATGCCCTGACATCCGCAGAGAGTTCGAAGTGGTCGCCATACAGTGTTGTCCAGTTCTCATACTGTACTACGTTGGGAGTTAGCTGCATACAGGTGTAACATTTTATCAGGTCTCTGGTAAGGTTGGAAATGAAGCCCACTCGTAAGTTAGTCACAATTAAGAGAAAAAAAAGCTATCAGATTTCAGGTAAGGCTGGAAATCAGCTAATACTCGATCGTGGGATCTTTTTTCACAAAGAAAGATACACCTATCTAGGACCATCAACTCTTTGTGAAGGCAGAGCGGAACGTCCTGATGCAAGCTTTACAATAGCTTATTCTACAAAAGCTAAGACTAGATCGGCTTTATCAGGAATCGGCATGCCATTTCCAAATGCTATCATGCCATTCCCAGAGGGGGTGAATTGCATGTAAACCTAGATCCCATCCCATCCATAATTTTTTCAAGAAAATGTCAGATTGGAGTACCTCCAATCCCAGGAGATCACACAACGGCTAAAAATGCAAAGGTACTAGACTTAGTGTGCTTGCAAAAGCAGTAAAAGAGAAACTTTAGCGGCTTGGGATTAGATAAAACCTGATGATAGACTCTTGGAGCCAAGATAGAAGAGAGTGGATCCATTCCCTTCGCAAAATGATTTAAGAGAACCTCCGTAGTCCCAGCAATGATCATGGATCCCCCACTTGCGCCTACCACACCTTTCAGTTGCTCATCCTGTGGAGGGATGCACAAGACATAAAAAAAATTGCAGTGTTAAAATGTGCATAAGGTCTTAAAATAATGATAAACAAGGACAGTATCAGGGTCAAAATCTAAATGGAATTATATCTAAACATAACAGTAGTTCATATACAATTTAGAATCGAGTATCACACTCTATATCTGTTTGAGCATGCCTGTGGGCCGGCGCTGTGGTTCATTTGAGACCGGAAACCCCTGCCCCCTAAGCCTTTAAAATGTTGGAAATCATAATTGGCCATCTGGAGCCTCCGAATAGAGTAAATATGGGATCAATTTTAACTTGAGCAAAAGAAATCACAAAGCAGCAGACCTTCAGCACAATAGTAGGTGTCATGGATGATAATGGTCTCTTCCCGGGCCTGATGAAATTAGGAGGTGCAGGCGGTGGAACATGCCCAGTATTATTCCCAGGCATGGAGAAATCATCCATTTCATTATTCAGAACTATTCCTGTACTTGGAGATAGTATCTGTGCCCCAAAGTATGAATTCACAGTATTGGTCATGGAGACAGCATTCCTCTCACTATCTACAATGGATATATGACTTGTGCCATGATCATTAATCTGGCTCCACCTGTCAAAACGCAGAACTTGGTAAAGATGATAGGTACAGAATATAGATTGTCAGCATAATTTATACTGCAACTTTCAGCACATGCCACAATACTGAAAATGTTGGGAGTTGGGTGGAGGAACTACTTTGCCTCTCTCAGTAACATCATAAAGCAATGAATTGCCCATCACGTTCTTTTTTCCAAACCACCCAGCGAATGGATCGTGTGAAGAATTAGAAAATGCACCATTTAAGTTTGAGGAAAAATTCAATAACATAATCAAGCAATGAACTACCTATCATCTAATAATGGTTTTCAGGATCATCCACTCCTAATCAACATAAAATTTTACAGGTTCTTGCAATTGAACATGAACATAAAAGGAATTGTATATTAGAAAATATCCAGCCATTCGTGTGCAAAAACAAATTTTATGCTACAGTTGCTACTCTGTTTACCTGCCACCATAATGACCAGGATCAAAAGTCATGTTGTCATAAATGGTTTTCTTCAACTCTTCTGCAAATTTGGGAGAGATCATATCTGATACGACTTGAGCAACATCAGCAAAGTCAGGATCGCCAAGCTTCATCCTCACAGCGAACGCATGCTTTAAAGATTCAACTAGTCGATGGAACCCAAGGGGGCCAGAAATGCCTTCCGGGACTCCGTATTGGGCAAGAATGTTCAGAATCTGTGGCAAAGGGAGCAGTAATCCTAGATTATTGGTGTTTTTTTTTTTTTTTTGCTGTCTAAAGTCAGAAGATAAACAGGCACAGAGGTGCACTTACAAGCATCATTGAAGCACCCCCTGAAGAAGGGGGAGGCATTCCAATTATTTTGTAGCCTAGAATGTTAGTGATGATGGGTTCTCTAACTCTGACTTTATACCTCCGCAAGTCTTCTATTGTCAGTATCCCCCCAAGTTTCTGAATATCTCTTACCAAATTGAAACCTATTGGTCCATTATAAAAGGTTCCCACTCCTTTTGAAATTGTTCTTAATGTGTCTGCTAGTTTCTTGTTGTAACAGACATCACCTGGTTGCAAGAGATCACCATTTGACGTAAATACGTTGCGAAGCCCTTCATCTGCCAAGATACCTGATTGTGTCTTTTCCATCTGCATGCGGAGGTATCGTGAAATCTTGAATCCTCTGCGAGCTAGCTTCTCAGCTGGCCTTACAAGCCTTTCCCATGGGAGCCTTCCATGCTGTTTCCACGCTTTGTAAAGGCCAGCAAGTTCCCCTGGGACAGCTATGGATAGGGCACCTCTTGCTTTTATAGTAGCATTTCCATCATACATATTCTGCAGAAAATGGGTGAACAAATTATTTAGTACATAGCATGGTACAGAAACCTATCAATCTAGAAACTATCAGTTTTCCCAACAAATAAGACAAATTGAAAACATTAAAGCAGAAAAGTATATTTGCAACAAAAAAGTTATTAAATATAGTTTCTAGAAGCGTCTTGGTTTTAGCACAAGGCACATTGCATTTGCAAAATCAATATTAGAGGCAATTCAAAAATATATGGACAATAGGCTACGTCGTACCCCCAATTTCCTTGGTGATAAATCGATACACACCATATCAAGATGCATGGCCTGAATGTGAAAGCATATGCAGAAGATTTGAACCATATGGAGAAATTGTATTCTTGGGGGATAAATCGAGAAATGCCAGACAATAGATGGTTGAATTTTCAATGAAAGGACTGAAAAACATGGCAGATGGCGACATTCAGCCCTTGCTGGATCTTTCAAATGAAAAATTCTGTATGCCTCCAGTGGAAGCTCTCCACAAAGTGGATGTGCATCTATCAACAAAACAAGACTTAAAACAGTGGCAATTACCAATCAGCAATATAACTTGGACAGCAGCTAATGCAAGTGAGGTAATCTAAATTATTGGGTAACATAGGAAATGATATATATATATATTGACTCCGAATGTTCTGAAAACATTACTGGTTTATATTGGGATATTCAAGCATTCAAACACACATAAATTTACGTGGTCGGCAACTTGTCTACTCCACGGAGCTACTAGTTTGTATTAATCATTCAAAGAAACAATACAAACAAAGAGGAGGAGAAAACTCTTCTCAACTCAACTCTACACTCAAGCTTTCTCTTCACTTCTGTTCTCTCTATCTCAATTTTTCACTCTGTATATCACACACATACCTTCAGCTCTTTACCTTGTCTATTTATAGGCAAGGTTGGGGAGACATGGGGCATAAATCATGCAATGATTTATGCCACCTTTTAAGCCTCCATTAATGCCAAGTGGGAGATTAGGTATTCCCACTTGCATATAATGGAGGTGGGACATTATTTGTTTCCACTAACAATCTTCCACTTGGAGACAAATAATGAAATTATTTTTTATCCTTGAAGACCAATTGAAGTTTTATACAACTTCAGTTTATCAAGTGTAACTCTTTTGGTTAACATGTCAGCAGGATTCTTGCTTTCACAAATCTTTTCTAGCAGTAGTTGTTCATCATCTAGCAATTGTCGGATGAACTGATATTTGATTTAAATGTGCTTAGTTCTGGAGTGAAATGCTGGATTCTTAGCAAGGAAGATTGCACTCTGACTATCGCTATACAAAGTACCATTTCCATTCATTTTACCCAATTCTTTCAGGAAACTCTGTAGTCATACTATCTTTTTTGCAGATTCTGAGACTGCAACATATTCAGCTTCTATTATTGAAAGAGCGACTATCTTTTGCAAGGTAGAACTCCAAGAAATAGCAGTACCTCCTAGAGTGTGTGTGTGTGTGTATATATATATATATATATATATCATGTAGTACTCTTTCTGCTATCAACATCTCCTGCTAAATCAGTCTCTACAAAACCTTCAAGTTTCAAACCACCAATTATGAAAGTAAGACATGTCTTCGATGAACCTTTTAAGTACCTCATGATCCATTTCACCGCTTCCCAATACTGCTTTTCAGGATTGCTTATATATCAGCTTACAACTCCCACTGCATGGACAATGTCTAGTCTGGTACAAACCATAACATACATCAAATAGGCGATAATTGAGGCGTATGGAATCTTATCCATGTATCCATATTCTAGCTCAGTTTTTGGTGACTGGTCTTTGTTGAGCTTGAAATGATTTTCCAGAGGTGTACTTACTGGTTTAGCATTATCCATATTAAACCTGCTGAGAACCTTCTTGATATACTCTGTTTGTGAAAGTTTTAGTATGTCTTTGTTTTTATCTCTGATGATTCTCATGCCAAGTATTTGTTTAGCAGCTCTTAGATCCTTCATTTCAAACTGTTTTGACAACTGCTGTTTCAACTTATCAATCTCTTCCATGCTGATCCTGCAATCAACATATCATCCACATACAAAAGTAGAATGATATAGGAGTTGTCAAAATATTTGCATAGCAAGAATGATCAGCCTAGCATCTTGTGTATCCTGAACTACACATGAAGTTGTCAAACTTCTAATACCATTATCTTGGAGCTTGTTTCAAACCATATAGGCTTTTTTTAGCTTACAGACTTGGTTCTCCTTTCTTTATATTGCAAACCTCTTTGGTTGTTGCATGTAAATGTCTTCTTATAATTCACCATGAAGAAATGTTGTTTTTACATCTAATTGTTCAAGATGTAAATTTTCTGCAGCTACTATCCTAGAACAGCTCTGATTGTTGTGAGCTTTATAACTGGAGAAAATATTTCAGAGTAGTCAATCCCTTTCTTTTGTTGAAACCTTTTTATAACAAGTCTTGCCTTAAACCATTTTCTTTCGTCATGCTTAGTCTTTAATTTATAAACTCACTTGTTTTACAAAGCCTTCTTTCCTTCAGGTAGTGTGGTTAGCTCCCAAGTCTTGTTCTTCAACAACGACTCCATCTCGTCCTTCATGGCTAACTCCCACTTGCTAGATTTCCATCTTGTAAGGATTCTTTATAAGTTAATGGTTCACCACCATCTATCAGCAAAATATAATTCAGTAGAAGTATGAACCATTGTGGAGGCTTTACAGTCCTTGAAGACCTGCGAACAACTGGTTCACTTGGCTCCGCATCTTCTTGTGTAATAGTAGGTACAGATGTGCTTGAATCTTCTTGTAAAGACTCTTGAATGGTAACATCGGGAAGCCCTTTTAATCTTATGAACTCGGATTTTTATAGACTTGTATCTGAATCAGCCATATCTGTTTCTGCACTTGATCTGTCTTTGTACAAAACTTTCTCGTTGAAGATCACGTTCCTACTTCTGATAATCTTCCTGTTCTGACCATCCCATAACTGAAATCCAAATTCTTCATCTCCGTAGCCAATGAAGAAACATTTCTTAGATTTGACATCTAGCTTGTTGCAAGCATCAGAATCTATATGCATATAGGAAACATACCCAAATACCTTTAAATGAGAGAGTTGTATTTCTTTTCCTCTCCATACTTTCTCGGGCAGTTTGAACTCCAAAGGAATTGATGGTCTACAGTTGATCAAGTAAATTGCAGTATAAACTACATCAGCCCAAAAAGTTTGAGGTAACCTAGAATGCAACCTCATGCTTCTAGCTCGTTCATTGATGGTCCTGTTCATCCGTTCAGCAATGTCATTCTATTGTAGTGTGTCTAGAATCATCTTTTCCATTCTGATACCATTGATAGCGCAATATTATTTGAAACCTTCATCAATGTATTCTCCTCTATTACTAGATCTTAAGCATTTCAACTTCAGACCTGATTCAGTCTTAATCATAGCCTTCCATTTCTTGAATGTTTCAAACACATCAGATTTATTTTTCAGAAAGTAGACCCATACCTTACTGCTGAAGTTATCAATAAAAATCACATAATACCGAGAACCTCCAAGAGATGCTATTAGAGCCGGTCCCCATAAATTTATGTGTACCAGTTCTAGCTTTCTTGTTCTTAAGGTCCTGTCAACCTTTAAAAATTGAGTTTCTTCTGTTTTCTAAGAACACAACTTTCACAAATGTCTAGATCAACATTTTTTTAACTCTAGCAGCTTTCCTTTTGACTAAAGTATCTTTATCCTCTTTTAACTCATATGACCGAGTCTATAGTGTCATAGTTATGCCTGATTTTCTGCTTCAGTAGAGGCAATAATGTCTCCAAATCTTGTGGTCATATACAAGGTGTCAGTTTTCTTTTCACGAGCCAAAACTATTGCTCCCTTTGATACCTTCCACATACCTCCAGAAAAAAGGATTGAATGACCACTATCATTAAGTTGTTCGACCGAGATCAACTTTTTCTTTAGTTTAGGAACATGCCTTACATTTGTAAGTTCCATATAGGTCAATTCATTGTCTTGATTTGCACATCTTCTATACCCATAATATCCATTAGTTGTTCATTAGCTAGATAGACTACACCGTGATCTCCAGCAACATAGTTTTGCATCATTTCATGGTGTGAAGTACAGTGGAATGAAGCACTAGAATCAAGAACCCAATCATTAATTGGACTTTGTACAACAAGAATCAAAGCATCTTGTACCTTGTCTATAGTGGCGATTGCAGATTCAGCTTCAGGTTTTTTTGGTTTTGTGCGACTTCTCATGAAATGACTAGGTTTGCCACAATTCTAACATTCAACCTGTTTTCTGGGTCCAAACTTGCTTTTACTTTTGTACTTGGATTTTGATATGTTTTTAGATAAGCCTATATCATGTCTCTTCCCTCGAGTGTTGATATTGAGAGTTGAACCTGAACTTGAGCTTTCACCTAAGCATTTCCTTCATACTTCTTCAGCTAAAATCAGGTCTCGGATGTCATCATATTTTAGTTTGGATTTTCTGGCTGAGTTGCTTACAACTATTCTCATACCTTCCCAACTACTTGGAAGTGAAGCTAGCAAAATAAGTGCACGGATCTCATCATCAAACTCAATCTCAACAGATGACAATTGATTTGTGATGGTATTGAAGTTGTTGAGATGCTGTGCAACAGAGGTGCCTTTTGTCATCTTCAGGTTGAATAGCTTCTTCATCAAGTGCACTTTATTATTTGCTGATGGCTTCTCATACATCCCAGACAAGGCTTCCATCAATCTTGCAGTGAATTTTTCTTTTGTAACATTATGAGCAACTCTTCTTGACAAAGATAGCCGGATAATGCCCAAAACCTGTCTGTCAAGTATTTGCTAATCTTTTTCTGATATATTTTCTGGTTTGCTCCCCAATAGAGAAAGATAAAGTTTCTTCCCATATAAATAGTCTTTAATTTGCATTTACCAATATCCAAAATCTGTTCCATCAAATTTTTCAATTCTCATAGCCTTTATTTCTTTTTCCATTTTTAACATTTCTCGTATTGAAATTTGCCAAATCTGACCTTACAGATGTGTCCAGAATGGCCAAAAATATTGGAAACGACACTGAAATCACCCAAATCGGACTTTGAATGGCTAAGATCTTATCAATCAACCTTTGGGATCAGTGGACGCTGCAGATGAAGCCATGTGTCAGGAGGAATAGTGTCTGTGACACACTAGATCAAAACCCAACATGTTGACGTGGCTGATGATGACGTGTCGAGCATGTAAGTAATCCGAGCCCACAATACTGACGTGACAGATCCACGTGGATTTCTGTCTGATGTGTCTGTGTGCTGCCGTAGATTGTGACGTGACTGATGACTATGCAGAATTGCTGTTGTGGTTGCTGATTGGTGGCTGACATGTCGGGTCAACCCTGTTCAGTTGCAGGAATTCGAGTGAAGAAGATGCGTGGAGAGTGTGTGACGCGTCGGTGTGCGTGGGCAGTGCTGTCGTTGGCGCGTGCAGGCACGCAGGATATCGATTCTTCGCTTGGTTTTCACCAGTGGATTCGTCTCGCCTTCCTCTACACGATGGTATGTTCAAAAACATGTTTTGAGAACTTTGATTTTTGAGTTTGGAACAAACACCTTCTTTTTCAAGAACAAGCTTTGATACCAGTTGTTAGGACATTCAAGCATTCAAACACACATAAATTTACATGGTTCGGCAACTTGCCTACTTCACGGAGCTACTGATTTGTATTAATCACTCAAAGAAACAATACAAACAAAGAGGAGGAGAAAATTCTTCTCAACTCAACTCTACACTCAAGCTTTCTCTTCACTTTTGTTCTCTCTGTCTCGGTTTTTCCCTGTGTCACTTACCTACAGCTCTTTACCTTGTCTATTTATAGACAAGGTTGGGGAGACATGGGGCCTAAATCATGCAATGATTTATGCCACTATTTAAGCCTCTATTAATGCTAAGTGAAAAATTATGTATTTTCACTTGCATATAATGAAGGTAGGACATTATTTGTCTCCACTAACAATCTATAAGGAAGAAAACGATAAAAAAAAACGATGGAAAGAGGAAGGAATCACCATACTCCAAAATACTGCCAAATCAATGAAAAAAATGAAGGAAAAACCTCTTACTATTCATTTGTTGATGTGCCAAATTGCAACATGTTTTCCCTTTACTTGTGTTGATATTCTGTACTCAAGATGGTTATCACATATATTCTAGGAAAGACTTGTCAGAATCCTCATTACCTCAGAAGCTTGCATTGGCGCAGTTTCTCTCATGTCATAGGCATGTAACTCCCCGCTGGCAAGTCTGACAATCATAAAGGCTCCTCCACCGATGCCGCTTGATGCTGGGCTCACAACTCCCAAACAAAGAGAAGCAGATACAGCGGCATCAACAGCATGCCCTCCTTCACGAAGAACATCAATCCCAATTCTGGAACATCTACCATCATCAGTAGCAACAGCACCATGGCGTGCCACTACTGCTTGGTGTCTAAATTTGGTTGAACCACTCTGACGACTGTGAAGGCTTGAAGTAGCAGGGCACAGTAGAAAGAAGAAAAACAGAAGGATTGCCATAACGACGGCAAAGCTGCAATCAATAAAAGCGTTGATTTTGATGAAAAACATCTTAATTAAGTCAATAAAACCACACATTCCAAAATTCCTCATTTCATTACCAGAAGAAGAAGAAGAAGAAGAAGAAGAAGAAGAAGAAGAAATTGAAGATCACACAAAGTTGATTTCCACCTCACAAGTCTCCAAAAACTACTTACATGACAAGTCTCGCATAGTACAATGTATTCTTCTGCCATTGAAAGCATTGAATCTGCATGTGATGGTGGGGTGGTGTTGGTCCATTTGCTCAGAATAGAGCATTAACCGAGTCGTAGCTCTGTTTGACCTTCACGGTCCACTAGATTCTTTTAGATATTTAACATTTGACATTTTGAGTGGACGTAAATTCATTTTTTTCCTTGCATAAGTTATTGCATTTTTTTAGGAAATTAATCAATGAAAAGTATGAAAGAAAAATCTTAAAAAAATTAGGGTCTGGCTATTATGATATCTTTAAATTAGTTAAAACATTCACATTAACAAGAAATAGGAAAGCAACTCCAAACATAACACTATTTACAGTAAACATGTTTTCTTTTTAAAAAACATATTTATAATTTATTTTAATTTATTTTCTTATAAAATTGTTTTAATCTTATAATTAAGATTATAAACTTGTTAATTTTAATTAACCTAGATTATTTTTAATTTTATTTTTTTTAATTATTTTTTTTAATATTATCTTTTAACTTGAGATTAATTGAAAATTTATTTTTATAATTTATTTTAATTTATTTTTTATTGAGTTATTGTAATCTTATAATCTCGATCTTGAATTTAATAGGTAAATTGAATTAGGCTATATCAATTCAATATGTTATTATTTTAATTTTAAAAAATATTATATATTTTAAAATTTTTTAATTAATTATCTATGAATTATTCAAGATATTTTTAAAATTGTTAAATTAATCGGTCATATATTGAATCAATCCCTATACTTTTTATAATTCTTTCAAGTAAGACACACAATTGATTCGACTGCAAGTAGTGCGGGCTGTAGTTAATGAAAAAAAAAAAGGGCTAAAATAATAAGGCAAATCCTAAATTATTAGAAATTTTGATTCTTGAAATGAAACGCATCCGTGTCTATGATAATGGCAAAATAACACGTGAGTGAAATTAAATGGTGGTGATTTTTTGGATAGATGGTTTTCCAGTGTGTTTTGGTCGGTCGGTTGCATTTGAAGCTTGGATTGATCTCTTTTCGGGCCTGCGTTTCTTTGGCAGA